CATCGCCAATAACCCCGGGACATTCAAGTGAGGAGCATCACCAATAACCCCGGGACATTCAAGTGAAGAGCATCACCAATAACCCCGGGACAGTCAACTAAGGAGCATCACCACTAACCCTGCGGCAGTCAACTGAGGAGCATCGCCAATAACCCTGGAACAGTCAACTGAGGAGCATCTTCAATAACCCTGGGGCAGTCAACTGAGGAGCATCACCAATAACCCTGGAACAGTCAAGAGAGGAGCATCGCCAATAACCCTGGAACAGTCAACTGAGGAGCATCACCAATAACCCTGGGGCAGTCAACTGAGGAGCATCACCAATGGCCTCGGGACATTCAAGTGAGGAGCATCACCAATAACCCTGGGTCATTCAAGTGAGGAGCATCACAAATAACCCCGGGACAGTCAACTGAGGAACATCACCAATAACCCCGGGACAGTCAAGTGAGGAGCATCACCAATAACCCCGGGACATTCAAGTGAGGAGCATCACCAATAACCCCGGGACATTCAAGTGAGGAGCATCACCACTAACCCTGGGACAGTAAACTGAGGAGCATCATCAATGACCCTGGGGCAGTCAACTGAGGAGCATCGCCAATACCCCTGGAACAGTCAAGTGAGGAGCATCACCAATAACCCCGGGACATTCAAGTGAGGAGCATCACCAATAAACCCGGGACATTCAAGTGAGGAGCATCACCAATAACCCTGGGACAGTCAAGTGAGGAGCATCACCAATAACCCTTGGGACAGTCAAGAGAGGAGCATCACCAATAACCCCGGGACAGTCAACTGAGGAGCATCATCAATGACCCTGGGGCAGTCACCTGAGGAGCATCGCCAATACCCCTGGAACAGTCAAGTGAGGAGCATCACCAATAACCCCGGGACAGTTTACTGAGGAGCATCACCAATAACCCTGGGGCAGTCAACTGAGGAGTATCACCAATAACCCTGGGACAGTCAACTGAGGAGCATCATCAATAATCCCGGGACATTCAAGTGAGGAGCATCACCAATAACCCCGAGACATTCAAGTGAGGAGCATCACCAATAACCCTGGGAGAGTCAAGAGAGGAGCATCACCAATAACCCCGGGACAGTCAAGTTAGGAGCATCACCAATAACCCCGGGACAGTCAACTGAGGAGCATCATCAATAACCCTGGAGCAGTCAACTGAGGAGCATCGCCAATAAGCCCGGGACAGTCAAGTGAGGAGCATCACAAATAACCCCGGGACAGTCAAGTGAGGAGCATCACCAATAACCCCGGGACAGTCAACTGAGGACCATCACCACTAACCCTGCGGCAGTCAACTGAGGAGCATCACCACTAACCCTGGGGCAGTCAACTGAGGAGCATCACCAATAACCCAGGGATAGTCAACTGAGGAGCATCACCACTAACCCTGCGGCAGTCAACTGAGGAGCATCACCACTAACCCTGGGGCAGTCAACTGAGGAGCATCACCAATAACCCCTGGACATTCAACTGAGGAGCATCGCCAATAACCCCGGAACAGTCAACTGAGGAGCATCATCAATAACCTTGGAACAGTCAACTGAGGACCATCACCAATAACCCTGGGGCAGTCAATTGAGGAGCATCTTCAATAACCCAGGAACAATAAATTAGTGAGTGTTCAATACATTTTAGCATTACATGATAAAAGGCTTATCTGACGTATAGAAATTTGAATAAAAACAAAGTGAATTAAAACTAAAATTATTACTTCGAACATATTTGAACATACCAGCACTGCCAAAGTCACATTTTCTACGTAGCGGATAGGTAAATGTTAATACGTCCGTTCAGATTATTTTGACAATGCGTGGGAAGATGTTCGTGGCATCTGAGGAGCATCACCAATAACCCTGGGGCAGTCAACTGAGGAGCATAGCCAATAACCCTGGAACAGTCAACTGAGTAGCATCACCAATAACCCTGGGACAGTCAAGAGAGGAGCATCACCAATAACCCTGGGACAGTCAACTGAGGAGCATCACCAATAACCCCGGGACAGTCAAGTGAGGAGCATCACCAATAACCCCGGGACATTCAAGTGAGGAGCATCACCAATAACCCCGGGTCATTCAAGTAAGGAGCATCACCAATAACCCTGGGACAGTCAAGTGAGGAGCATCACCAATAACCCCGGGACAGTCAACTGAGGAGGATCGCCAATAACCCTGGGACAGTCAAGTGAGGAGCATCACCAATAACCCCGGGACATTCAAGTGAGGAGCATCACCAATAACCCCGGGACATTCAAGTGAGGAGCATCACCAATAACCCTGGGACATTCTAGTGAGGAGCATCACCAATAACCCCGGGACAGTCAACTGAGGAGCATCACCACTAACCCTGCGGCAGTCAACTGAGGAGCATCACCACTAACCCTGGAACAGTCAACTGAGGAGCATCACCAATAACCCTGGGGTAGTCAACTGAGGAGCATCATCAATAACCCTGGAACAGTCAACTGAGGAGCATCACCAAAAACCCTGGGGCAGTCAAGTGAGGAGCATCACCACTAACCCCGGGACAGTAAACTGAGGAGCATCACCAATAACCCTGGAACAGTTAACTGGGGAGCATTACCAATAACCCTGGGGCAGTCAACTGAGGAGCATCCCCCATAACCCTGGGACAGTCAACTGAGGAGCATCATCAATAACCCCTGGACAGTCACCTGAGGAGCATCACCAAAGAAACCAATGCTCTCACTTGATTTTATCATTTGTTTGATTATCAGTTGCCAATATCTTGAGTCAGCGAAATAAAATCCAAAAAATTAACTGTATTGCCTTTTAGTCAGAACTCACTACATTGTGTTGTTTTTGTACATATTTGATTTAAAACTTTAATAATGAAAAAAATATATAATACACAAATGCTGCAGGGTTATCTATAAACTCAATAGAATCACCCAGCCACAGATATCGATTTATTTTAACAAATTGTTTCCTGTAATCAGACGTCTAAAAATCACATATATTTCACCCTCGGGCGCAATAAATTAGTGAGTGTTCAATACATTTTAGCATTACATGATAAAAGGCTTATCTGACGTATAGAAATTTGAATAAAAACAAAGTGAATTAAAACTAAAATTATTACTTCGAACATATTTGAACATACCAGCACTGCCAAAGTCACATTTTCTACGTAGCGGATAGGTAAATGTTAATACGTCCGTTCAGATTATTTTGACAATGCGTGGGAAGATGTTCGTGGCATCTGAGGAGCATCACCAATAACCCTGGGGCAGTCAACTGAGGAGCATAGCCAATAACCCTGGAACAGTCAACTGAGTAGCATCACCAATAACCCTGGGACAGTCAAGAGAGGAGCATCACCAATAACCCTGGGACAGTCAACTGAGGAGCATCACCAATAACCCCGGGACAGTCAAGTGAGGAGCATCACCAATAACCCCGGGACATTCAAGTGAGGAGCATCACCAATAACCCCGGGTCATTCAAGTAAGGAGCATCACCAATAACCCTGGGACAGTCAAGTGAGGAGCATCACCAATAACCCCGGGACAGTCAACTGAGAAGGATCGCCAATAACCCTGGGACAGTCAAGTGAGGAGCATCACCAATAACCCCGGGACATTCAAGTGAGGAGCATCACCAATAACCCCGGGACATTCAAGTGAGGAGCATCACCAATAACCCTGGGACATTCTAGTGAGGAGCATCACCAATAACCCCGGGACAGTCAACTGAGGAGCATCACCACTAACCCTGCGGCAGTCAACTGAGGAGCATCACCACTAACCCTGGAACAGTCAACTGAGGAGCATCACCAATAACCCTGGGGTAGTTTCCTGTAATCAGACGTCTAAAAATCACATATATTTCACCCTCGGGCGCAATAAATTAGTGAGTGTTCAATTCATTTTAGCATTACGTGATAAAAGAAATTTGAGTGAAAACAAAGTGAATAAAAACTAAAATTATTACTTCGAACATATTTGAAAATACCAGTACTGCCAAAATCACATTTTCTACGTAGCGGATAGGTAAATGTTAATACGTCCGTTCAGATTATTTTCACAATGCGTGGGGAGATGTTCGTGGCAAGAATTAATATATCTCGACCTGACCCATAATCACGAACAACAGCAGCCACCAGTTGACAAAGGAATTCATTTATACTACTATACTTATACTTATCGATTCAAACTTCTGTTGGGATAACAGCGACCGAGTATGTCTCGAGTATTCCCATCCTCTTCACTCTTACGTGACTCGTTCACCATTTCTTAGAATTGGTAAGAAATTCTAATGGTACCTGACAATTCCCATATTGTAAAACAGTCATGATCATCAAAGTGCAAAATTAATCATTATAACGGAGGTTGGTGGTATGTGGCAATGGTGTTTTTTTTTTGTTTTTTTTACAAATAATTAATTAATTATATTTTTCTTGCCGTAGAACTATTTATTCTGTTTATTTGGCAAGACGAATGTAAGAGTACCAAACAATGGTTTACACCCATGAGATCCATTAAATTTCAATAGCAATTTCAAAAAGAAACTTCAGAGAAAACTCAAGTGGACCATCTTCAGTGGGTCTTAACACAAGCACTGTTTATGTTTTTGAGGAAATATAAAGCGGCCTTTGTGTAAGAAAATCACAATACGTTACATAAGCACATATTCACCGTTACCTTTCCTCGCTAATACATGTGTAAGAGCATAAATCTTTACGGGACCATGTTGTTAAGGGCATATGCGTGTACTTGTTTGTTATATAGTTCTAACAACATATGTCCTATAGATTATAGTAATGTCTTGAGGCATTGGTGCGTCAGAACAGTCTAAAGACACAAGAGAAGCGGCAACACCAACGTCTACCACATCAATACCTCCACGCAACTAGGAGAATAGTCGGAAGGAATCTACTAGATGTTTCACCGGCCAGGGTAGGTGTACATTCATCCAGTGGAGTGTGTAAACGGAACATCAATAAGGTAAAGCACCGGATATCAGGATATGGGACGTGTGTTAGTTTCGACAAAATAAGACAAGTGAATACAAGATTCAATTCGAGCAAACAGAAGACTAGGAGGAACACGACAGTATTTACACCATTTGTAGAGTACATAACTACAGGATGATATGGCGTGTGAAATGTTGGATGTTTCTTGGACATAAAATGACCCTGCTATCATTGCTTATTGCAACATGGATACATGTCAGGTTGGTATAATTTGATTGATATCTTCATGAGGCAAATGCAATAGTCAAAAACATACTGCTTGCACTTATTTCTAACATTGATTTAAGATGCATTGTTTGAATTTATACAGTGATGGCCCTGTCACACTACAACGTTTCAGAGTAACTTGCACCAAGCGTGTAAATGATAGTTAGTTCGCTGCCATACGTCGAGCTTTCATCGAAAAAAACATGTTTTTGACGTATACATAGCGTCTACATGACGAGTTCACCGTATATGTAACGCATGTCTAACGTATTAGTAGCGTATCACTGAGCGTATACATAACTTATGACAGCGTATAAAAGCGTATTGCAAGCGTGTGTCTGGCGTGTTCAACGTATAGCCGGCGTATGCCCAGCGTATGAGTAACGTATGACTAGCGCGCTCAGCGTAAGGGAAAGGTGCCTAAAACGTGCCCCGCGGTAGTATAACTAGTAGTGTACACCCATTCATCAAAATACTTCATTCAAGCAGTAGTCTTCGCCCTGTCAACATCATCAAGATGCCTCCCAAGAAGAAACCTGCCAGGGGCCCAGCAAGATCTGGTAAAGTGTCAATTTGAGGATGTCATGCTGATGTTGGAGAATGGCTATTACGTCGTGGGCAGCCTCTGAGGATCCTTCACCTCCATCTTCTATGATGCCTCCATCAGAAGTGATGAGGAGGTACTGACCGGGTCCATTATAGACAGAAACCCCCAAAACGCTGATACTACGGTACAAATACGCTAGCTGAACGTTAGAAACACGTTTAAAAAGTTATATATATTTTGTCGTCAGACATACGTCGAATACGCCATATATACTCACACGCAAAAGAAACGCAAGTCGAGTATGCAGTATACATGTTATTTATTTTCAACAGTAAGACAAGAAATACTAATAGGGCAAGATTGACAAAAAATTGACTGAAGACAGTTTAATGGATTAAAAGGCAGATGACATAATTGGGTTTTTTTCAAATGTGAAGGGCTTACACAGTTTCGGGTCAATACCAAAAATGTCAGTCAATACCTGGTGTGACCACCATTAGCATTGATCACTGCCACACATCTCCTGTACATTGAGTGGATCAGACGCTTTGTGAAGGCCCTAGGGATCCTTCTGCACACATCCAGAGCAGATGTGCGTAGTTCATCGGCAGTTGTAGGGACATGTTTATAAGCCACGACGTACTACAACGTATACCAGCGTGCTTTTAACGTATACAACTTACACCTAACTTATCCATAGCCTGTTTCAGCGTTGCCGGCGTTTTGGCAAAAATTGCCATACGTCGCCATGCGTTACTGCTATACGTTGTTGTGTGGCAGGGCCATAAAGAGCATTTTTGTAAACATATGAACGGAGAAAACTGTGATTCATGTAAAATTCAAAAAATAAATTTATGCTGAACTTAAATCATGCATCTTTCAATACATATTCATGAAGACCTCTCCTCGTATCTATGGTAGTGATTCAAATCAGCATGTGTTAGTGCTCGGCGCACAATTTAGATGTTTGCGTGTTTGTTTGGAGCATGATACTCACGCATGTGGTTTTTGAATGTGAACAACAAATAATGATGGTTTAGCTGTCAGGTGCTCATAAAATCAAGTTTACGTAACCGTAAATGACGCATGCGCAATGTCACGGCTTGCTAAATCAACGTCTACGAGCCGTGGGATGGCGCAAAATGAAGTTGCCACACTTCAATGTTGTTCCAACAAAATATCATCCCACCAAGACAACCATATTCGGTTGGGGCATCTACGGAATCGATACATATCTGCCATAGTAACAACTCGGGCAATTCCTGGGCTGAGACCAGTTAGTGGCAGAGCCGTACGCAACCGGTTAAGGGAGAGCAACACCCGGCCCCGACGTCCAACGAGTCGCCCAATTTTGGTTACACTTCGCCGCGAAGCAACACAGCTCATCTTCGTGAATAGCAACTTGAATGTCGTACGCTACCCTTTGTGCAATAAACAGCGGCGGAACGTCACGTGACAGACAGACATTTTGAGGCAGCATAACATTGCTGAACTGCCCTGACCGGTTGATTCCCCAGACCCCCCCCCCCCCCCCCCCCCTTTAGAACGTGCTTGGGATGAGATGGATCAACACCTACGAAAGGACCAGAACCAACCGGTAACGTTAGCTCAATTGGATCAATCTTTGGTTGACGTGTGGAAAAACATTTCCCAGGCTGTTTTAACTCATTGAGTGTCTGCAATGCGACATTGCTGCCTCGCCTGTATCAACGCAAATAGTAGTCACACCGCCCCTCTTTTAGGGCGTGTCTCTTTGGAGGTATGGATTTTGTCAAAGGATGTGTGATGATAAAACATTGATCAGGCGAATTACCAAATATTATTTTCAATAACACAACATTTACATCACTCTATAAGAAGTAGTTACTTTTTTCCGTCAGTATAGATCACGCCATTTACATTTGCCAGAAGACAGTGATTTGATGTTGGTACTGAGCGCTCGAAGACTGACGTGTTGGTGAGGTGACCGTCACCTCATTCACTTGAAACAGATTCTTAGACTCACCTATCAATATACTGCAAACACGTGTGAGAGCAAACTTGGAATAACAATTGTTTTGCGGTTATTGTTTTTTTCTTATACTTGATTTCTGTGTTGTAGTGTCATGATAGTGTAGTGACTGATTTTAAGTGGTCCTTTCGTAAAATTTCCACAGCTATTTGCCCTTTACGCAAAGTGGAAAATGTTTCGGCAGAAAATCTAGGCTGCATATTCTCTTAAATTGACAATTTATATGTACTTATTAACAGGTCCATTTTGTATTTTGTTCATTCTTGAGAGCCTTAGTGACAGTATGTAAAATGACCTTTACACTGAGTTTCGCAACACCTTACTTTTAAGGCTCACAATATCAACCTCTGGATTGTCTGGTTGAGACAATTCAGCTTTTCAGAGCAGGTCCCATGCAGCTTGTGTGGTCAGGGCCCTGTTCTACAAAGCGATCGTAGCGCTGCAACAGTCGTAAATCTGTTCAAGTATGAGAGTTACGATGACCTTAGCGTTACGATAATTTTGTGGAGCTGACCACAGGGGTTTGAGTCTTACATACAATAGAACATACTAATGGCGGTGGAAATGGGTAGTTCATGCTTGTTCTCGAGGGAAAACTAAATGTATTAATGCAAGCCCCGTCCTCCTACGGACACCATATGTGTTTCCTTATAGTTACATGCTACTTCCTTGAGGCATGTTCAGCAGAGGGAGAGGAACACGTTGCTCAGCATCCTTCCAGACAGGGACATTTTTGCGAATTGTGTTCCTGAGACAACATTGTGGAACCTCTGCAAATATATAATCGAAATTTTCCACTTCTCAAAACAAATCATTGAAATTGGGTCATAGCCACAGTGGAACAGAGGCTTTGAAAAAGGAAGGCTGTTTAATAAATGTTATAGTTTAATAAAGTCAAACTCAGAAGGAATAGCGTAATAGTGAAATCTGTTCTTGTGAATATTCCATGATTTCATAGAAATATATCCACAAAACAATTGAGTCAACTGACCAAAATTATTTGCTGTGACAAGTCGGTGAAATAAGCAGGGATCTGTGATCCAGCAAAGTCACGGTCGCTGTCTTGTTACAGTGAAACAATTTGCTCAACTGACTGTTTTGTGTGGATTACACTATAGGACATCATGTAATGTCCACAAAAAAAGGTCTCACTAACACCCAATTCCTTCTGTGTGAGGGTCACTACGTATCAATCAATGAAACTTTGTAGAAAGAGTGGTTGGAAGAGGGATCAAGACAGGTTAAACCATCCGGAACATCTGGATAAGCAACATTTATTAACAATTCGTGTTTGAAATACGTTCACCTTGTCTTTATTTCAGATTGGCCTGCAATCCCGACTTCTGTATATCCAGAGCACATGGCGAGTACTTCTGTGACACGGCAGATAGTGCTTCCTACTACCGCTGTGATAACGGTATCACCTGGCACTTCACCTGTGGCCTTGGCACTGTTTATGACGGCAGTATATGTAATCTCCCTCCTACCGCATGCATAACAAACCCTGTGCCCGATCCATCCTCGGGCGAGGTCGTCAACGGCATCTGTGTAGCTACTGCAGGGTCGAGCACAGGAACAACCGGAAGTACAGGAAGTATGGTATCCCCGGAAACAACCGGAACTGCAGCGCCACCAAACTGTGGATGTGAGTACACCTCCTCAGATATATCCTTCCTATTGTGGTTGACATCAGTTATGATCACCGACTTTTCCGGAAACGTTTAGTTCAGGTTAAATATGTGACACCCATCTGTATCCAGTACAAACAGTGACAAAATTGCTCCCTATAAGTAGCTTAAGTACACGTATTTCGATTTACCAAATGTTGGTGAATTACGAAATGTATGAAGATACCAGACCTCTTGTGTTAGCTGTATCGTATATATATTTTTTCTGCTTCACTTTTTATCAGGTTAAACTTTAATCGGACGGTTTGATCTTCAGAACTTCGCCATAATAACCTTTAACAAATCCCAAATCGCAGAAATTTTCTGTTTTTCAGATGGCATATTGTGGCACTTGTACAGAAGGTATCTAAATATGAAGAGTGCATGTGCAGTTTTGAAGGAGTTCCCCGTGGCCACGCCCATATCATGTGCGTCTAAATGTACGATGTCGGGAACCTGTACGGGGTTCAATCTGTATACACAACCCAATAACTTGACCCGCACTCTACGATATGTGTGTCAACTCGTAGCCTGTCCGGGTGACCATTTGCTATCTTTCGCAACAGAAGATGCCTTTTATGACCAAATATAGAAATCTTACTAGCATTCCTTTATATCACGTAGGAAAAGTAAAAATGTTTCTTTTTTCAAGAAAACGTATTTATTTATCAAATATAATGGTATTAAAATATACGTGTCACCATTTTCTGCCATTGTTTTTAGTTTGTAATCTAGATCGCGTAGCAAAGAGGCAACAACCCGTTGTGAACACAAGCTTTCGTTGAGTTCACACTCGATATACATGTAGAGATGGCTTAATATGTCCCAATGTTGACACAGGCTATAGTAACATCGTCCCAATGTTAACACAGGCCACAAAGACATCGTCCCAATGTTAACACGGCCACAAAGACATCGTCCCAATGTTAACACGGGCCACAAAGATATCGTCCAAATGTTAACATGCGCTACAAAGACATCGTTCCATTGTTAACACAGGCCACAAAGACATCGTTCCATTGTTAACACAGGCCACAAAGACATCGCCCGAATGTTAACACAGGCCACGAACACATCGTCCTAATGTTAACACAGGCCACAAAGACATCGTCCCAATGTTAACACAGGCCACAAAGACATCGCCCCAATGTTAACACAGGCCACAAAGACATCGTCCAAATGTTAACACAGGCCACAAAGACATCGTCCAAATGTTAACACAGGCCACGAACACATCGCCCCAATGTTAACACAGGCCACAAAGACATCGTCCAAGTGTTAACACAGGCCACGAACACATCGTCCCAATATTAACACAGGTCACAAAGACATACTCGCAATGTTACAACAGGCCACAAACACATCGTCCCAATGTTAACACAGGCCACAAACACATCGTCCCAATGTTAACACAGGCCACAAAGACATCGTCCCAAAGTTAACACGGCCACAAAGACATCGTACCAATGTTAACACGGGCCACAAAGACATCGTCCCAATGTTAACACGGCCACAAAGATATCGTCCCAAAGTTAACACGGCCACAAAGACATCGTACCAATGTTAACACGGGCCACAAAGATATCGTCCCAATGTTAACACAGGCCACAAAGATATCGTCCAAATGTTAACACAGGCCACAAACACATCGTCCGAATGTTAACACAGACCACAAAGATATCGTCCCAATGTTAACACGGCCACAAAGATATCGTCCCAATGTTAACACGGGCCACAAAGATATCGTCCCAATGTTAACACGGCCACAAAGATATCGTCCCAAAGTTAACACGGCCACAAAGACATCGTACCAATGTTAACACGGGCCACAAAGATATCGTCCTAATGTTTACACGGCCACAAAGACATCGTCCCAATGTTAACGCAGGCCACAAAGATATCGTCCCAATGTTTACACGGCCACAAAGACATCGTCTAAATGTTAACACGGGCCACAAAGATATCGTCCCAATGTTAACACAGTTCACAAAGATATCGTCCCAAAGTTAACACGGCCACAAAGACATCGTCCAAATGTTAACACGGGCCACAAAGATATCGTCCCAATGTTAACACAGGCCACAAAGATATCGTCCAAATGTTAACACAGGCCACAAACACATCGTCCCAATGTTAACACAGGCCACAAACACATCGTCCCAATGCTAACGCAGGCTACAAAGACATCGTCCCATGTTAACAGAGGTTATAGCGACATCGTCTTTGTTAACAGAGGCCATGTACGAAGACTCTGCCAACAATACTGGCCCGATTGTGGGGTACCGGTGTCCTGGCTAACGACACAAACTCTTTTCGAAAATATCTCTGAAGTTAAAGGTTACTGGTGTGTCCTACACATCAAAGAAAAACGTCCACTGCATTATTGATTTACTAACTTTGTGCTTCGTGTCGCACGTATGTATCAGCCGAAGCTATTCGCTCGCTAAAGGCGATGTCCTGCTTCATCATTGACTGGTTCATATGTGTAAACTGTGTTTCACGTCTCGTTATCAGCGAGCTGCCAACTACAAAGACTACACTCAATTTATGAATGCATAGCACCGTATGCAACTCAACAAACAAACACATGTCGGTTCATATCTTATGGGGTATTGAGACGTCTGTCTATGTTGTTGTTACAGCATTTATTGTAAACTGCCTCTTATTATAATGCACTTATAATACAATAAATACTATTTTTTTATGCAAATTGTATGAATGGCGGGTGCTACCGATAGGGCAGGACAAGATAACGCGAACACCTGGTGTCATCACTGATTTAAAGTGGTCCATTTTCACAGCTATTTGCCCTTTACGCCAAGTGGAAAATGTAAACAGAAGATCTAGGCTGCTTATTCTCTTACATTGACAATTTATTTTTACTTATTAACAGGTCCATTTTGCATTTTGTACATTCTTGAATGCGTTATTCGCAGTATGTAAAATGACCTTAACACTGAGTTTGCGCAACACCTTACTTTTAAGGCTCACAAGATGACCCTCTGGATAGTCAGGTTCAGACAATTCAGCTTTTCAGAGCAGATACATGCAGCTTTTGTGGTCAGGGCCCTGTTCTACAAAGCGATCGTAGCGCTGCGACAGTCGTAAATCTATAACATGTTACCTGTTGAAATTCTTTTCAAGATTTCAAGACAGCGTGTGATGTTGTCATCGAAGAATGCACAAACGGTGAAGGAGGAAACAGAATCGATGTTATTTTATGTGGTAATTCCCAACAGGACACGCGAAGATAAACCCAGACACCGGTACTTACAGAACTAAAGTTTGAAATCAGTAAACAACCACACAGGATCAATGCAGAATCAGCCACTGATATTGAAATACACAGCATTAGGTTTACAATCATAACATGTTATACAATGGGTCACAATATGTGACAGCAGCAATTAATTCTATGTAACGAGCTGCCGTGATAGTATCACCATAGGCCAACAGAACATATCATATTAGCGCCTCATTTAAGTAGCTGCCACTCACAGGCAATACTCCGGCCCACTGTCACATAACAATAAACCCCTTTTGTCATTCAACTGCCGTGCAAAGCCTGGCTACCTTACATGGAAAAGTTCGCCGTTGTTCCCACTGACAACGCTTCAAATAACACAGCTATTATATGTAAGCAGCACTACATCAATTGTTTGATCAAAGAAATTGGAATGGGTGACATCAAATATACCACATACAAAGCCAGTATGTTAACCGTAGAAGAAATCTGCCAAAACCGACCATCAGTACCACAAGATAAACTTTTGGCTAGACTGTCTCTAAAACCTGAAGACGCCGATTCTACTTTTGTACTGAATTCCAAAACTCCACAAAAATCCGTCCAAGTAGATATATTGCATGGTTCGGCAAATGTGGCAGCAATATTCCTGTCTGAGAGGGTAACCAACATCCTTAATACAACCACGGACTGGAAGCTCCATCCCGGGTTTTACATTTCGGATATATGTTTGTCTTCAAACACACGAGTTTATCTTTTGGTCGACAACACTTTTATTCGTGATTTAAACAGACACAGCTGCAGAATGGACAGCAATGGTCAAGTGGGATCTATGAGGCGCTAATCAGCCTAGGTGTCTGAGGGTCATGTCCCGACCAACACAAAGCATCCTAACCTTAACGACAAGCCAAACCACTGACAAGCGGCCGCGTATGTGTTACGATATCTCTGTGGTCAGTCTGCAGTAGCCAGTACTTCATCAACAATGCCATGCTTCAGTGGCCAACCGACCATTCCTTTACGTGTAATTACAGACATCAGATCAGCCCATGTGTTACTGGCTACGATAATAATAGCCCAGCTGGTGTTATCTAATTTGTATTGACAACACTGCTAATAGTTGCATATGTAAATATTTTAACCTACTTGACTCAAAATTGCCTATATTTTCTTTTTATAATCACAGAAAGTATTTAAGAAAATTGGAACTAATACCATGTTGATTCAAAACCTCAAACAATTTGCTTAAAGTAGTGTACACCACCTTTCCACACGTCAAACTTCAAGGAGAAACTACATTCCTTCATCCATGGGGAATTCATCACTAAACTGTGCCCACGTCTATCTTCAAAGGTTCAGGACAGTTTGTCATGATCATCACGAAAGGAAATGAGACGATACAAGAACAACTAGAGACTTAAATATACGACATGGTGAGAGACGCCATGTGCATTACTGATAGTGTGGACATTTCGAGTGCTGAACGGCATAGAGGCATAAAAGACAAGAATAGTGTACTTGCATTAGCAAAGTCAATGAATGGACATAAAGCAAACATTTCGCAGGACTTTACACAACGTACCATATGTTTCCGTGCGGACAGTTCACTGGTTTCTTATGGTTATTGAAGGTGAGGCATTTACGTGCTTAGATTAATGTGCAATATTGTCTTTAAGACTGTGAATCAAAAAGAAATTAACTATCACGTTACATTTCTGGTTAGGTGAACATGTTAAGAATCGTGAAGGATATTAATTTCTTCATCTGACTGCGACTCCTGTGTTTACACCTGTTAACCTTGAGATACATAGCCATAACTAGAACCCTTTCGATCATAACATAAATAAAAAATTATGCCACTTATCAACTCTTCAACTTATGTATTATGTATTAGAGAACGACAAAAGTTCCTTCAAGCGTTCTCACACTACTTTATAGAAATGATTATTGATGAAGCATTTTTTCACTCGCGGTAACAGGTACAAACAAATGCATAACCAAGCACGAAGAGTTTGCGCTTGTGCTCAGCACATGTGGTCCGTGTTTCACGATATTTAAAATCTGGACCTTTCTTTACCTTTGCATTTTAAAAGATGCACCTACATTCTCTCAAAATGCATTTCCTCGTGCTATAAACACCAACATCTCAGAAACCTTTCGGGGGTGGTCGGGTAGCCTAGTGGTTAAAGCGTTCGCTCGTCACGCCGAAGACCCGGGTTCGATTAACGACATGGGTACAATGTGTGAAGCCCATTTCTGGTGTCCCCCGCCGTGATATTGCTGGAATATTGCTAAAAGCGGCGTAAAACCATACTCACTCACTCACTCACTCAGAAACCATTGGATAA